TCATTAACTTAATGTATGCGCTAATAAATATTGCGATAAGGAAAATGTCTGATTTACTTTGGATTAACAAATAAATGGATAAAACGAATCTTGGCATTTTTATTTTAAAATCCTTGCCCAAATGATCAATCCTAGGTACTTAACGCGTCTTTCATAGTAAATGCAGTACATTTCTCTCGATGTCTTCGAGTAATATTATCTCTTCATATAAGACTCAGAAAAATATTTTGTTTTCGTTTCTTAATATTGATTTTGGATACTAAAACTGTAAAATAAGATTTTCGTTGACTATCGATATTTTTAAACGTTTGCGAAATATTCATTGCTTTCTATTATACACTTCACTAAAGTTTATAAATGATATTAGATTGATGCGACATCTAATTTTTTCATCATATGGTGGAAAAATGTAAGAATTCCTAAACTGAAGCTTAATGGTATGGACGTTGCTTTTATCCATGCCCAGAGACTGTAAAGTGAAAGAAAATATTATAATTTACTATAATGCCATGATCTACATAGATATAATGGAGATAGTTCATTCATATATCATCTAGGCTTTAAACTGAGTCAACTTGTAAAGTTCTACAAAGCAGTGAGGATTTATTGCGAATAATTACATAATTACCTGGAACAGCAGTATATTTTATCAAGATTTTACTTATCTACAAGTATCTTGTTTTAAGAGAAAATTGATAAACTACATGGCTTAGATACATTATGAATTATGTACTTCTACTGCTTAATACTTTGTGACAAGTAATGAACTTACTTGTAAATGTTGTCATCCACCTTAAAGGGATAGGAGGTCGGAATGGAGCCGCTATCAAAGATAATGACGGGCTTAATTGGTACATCATCGGCATCGGTTTTCACTTGTTCAATCTTAAATACTACATGTTCACCTTCGATCACCTGTTAAAATAAAATTGTAAATTACCACTTCGGCTTAACATCAAGATCCATTTTTTAATACCTTCCCAAACACAGTATGCTTTCCATCTAACCATGGAGTGGGGATGGTTGTAATGAAGAATTGGCAACCATTCGTATTTGGTCCAGCGTTTGCCATACTCACATACATGGGTCCATTGTGACCGATATCAAAATTCTCATCGTCAAAATACTTTCCGTAGATACTGATAGATCCAGTCCCATCACCATTTTCTATATCTCCGCCTACATAATTTACGATATGGCCAGGTATACGATTAGAAATAAGCTCGACGAATAATGTTTTCATTCTGCTTTACATTCTTGGACAAATAATATATTTATGTAATTACCTTGTACCATAAATTTCTTAATCACTCGATGAAATCTGGTACCTTTGTACGTTTTCCCTGCTACTCCAGTTGTCGCTAAGGTGATAAAATTCTTTACGGTCTTCGGGGCAACGTCGCTAAATAATCCTATGACAATTCTTCCCGCGGGATGATCGTCGATCATGATGTCGAGGTACACTTGATCAGTGACAGTGAGCTCGCCATCCTATAAGAAAATATTTATAGCGTATTAATAAGAAACATTGATTATTCGATGAATGGAGAAGTAGGTTTGACTTGATAATATCCATTTTAAACATTAAGTTTATACTAGTTCTCAGTCTGATGACGAAGATGAAAGAAACATGATGGTTAATGAATTATTCTGAAAAATTCTCGATTTTCACAACTTTCACATCTATCTGCATTTCGCGCGGCGTATCGTGCTCGCTCACATGCTTGCAGAAAGTTATAGAGAATCGAGCGTGTGTATTAGCGTTAAGTAGACGATGGAAGCCTTACGCAGCAGTCACTATAAATGTACAGAAAACTCGTCGGATCTATACTACGATTTTATTTTATTTTTCGTTAACCGTGATTTGTGTGGAAATACATTCCCCAAATTTTATTCCAATTATCACCTTCTACCTTCACATCATAATACGAATTTTTTCCATAATTGCATTTCGATTACAATTTTATTATTATACATCGTTGCGCAATATATTTCATTATTAATTTCTGATATGTCGAAACTTTTACGCGTTAGACATAACACTTATATTTTTGAATTCAGTCCTTTTTTATTCATCATCAACAGCAAGTTGTACACGAAACTTTTCCGTCGATTTCTTTGACGTCGTTTAGCTAACGGTATACAGAAAAACACAGGTGCATCCGCGGTCAATAATTCGAACATAAAGCACGAAACGGTACCTCAAAAGTTGCGACCACTGCGACCAAGCAAGCTATCGTCAACAGAATCTTCATGGCTTCACGATTGCGTCCAGAATCCTCCGAGTTCTCTGACAGTTTCATCGTTCAACTCGCACGACGCTTAAATGTGATCAGAAGCACCGCGTGGAAAACGGACGAGCCCGGAGACGCTTGCGCGGAATATCCATTGATTCAAAGCAAAGTTCAGAATTATTGTTTCAATAATGAGATTCTGTCCGGAGCTTGCTGTTTTTTGCTGTAATTGTTTTGATTAATCCTTCATCAAGTAATTAATGTAAAATGTATAATGAAATTTTCAAATGGTTCGTGACGAAAATATACATCTAACATCAGTTGTCCGACTATATGAAATATTGTTAAATAATGAATATAATAACTATCAATATGCTTAGACATTAATTATGTACTATCACATAATTAATAATCGATACATTGTAGAAGTTATTAAAAGATCTTTCATATATCGCATCACAGCAAAAGTGTCTTCATTCGTTATGGGGTTAATAACCCTACCCAAATGTAGATCACGTACAAATAAAGATATACTTTTATGAGTCAATTTTAACCCAAATCTCAGTCATTCGACGATGACTGTTGAGCGAATCTTTCGCGAGGTCAAAGATTCTTGAAACCTGGCAGTTCAAACAACTCGACTCGCGATCGAGGCGTTTCGAGGCGCGCTCGTTAAGTCCCGTTACTCCCGATCGTCGACCGGCTCGAATATTATAAAAGCCGGACCATCGTGAATCCGTTGATAGTCATTGACGATGGAGACGAGTTGTGGATCTCGTCACGGTGCGTGTTCGTTCGCATTCGCAGTTCTTTTTGCCGTCGTACTCCTCGCGGAAGCGTCGGTGATCGGTCGAGAGAAACGAGAATTCGTAATACCGGACTGGATCGAGATCGTTGACGAGCCTGTCGCGGAGAACTCGAAGACTATTCAAAGAGCGGTCAATGTGAGGGATGCGAAAATAAGCTACGACGGGGCGCAAGTCTGGAGAGTCCAGGCTTTGGTAGAGGGACAAAAGGATTTGGTATCGAATGTGACCATGGATTTTCAAGAAGCTGGATGTTCGTAAATAGTCTGTTTATATAAAAAAATTTAATTCTCATTTCTGATTAGAGAATATATTTTGTTGAAGATGAAGAGAGTTTTTACAAGACTTATAATCCGAATATATTAGTTACTTTTATAAGCATTAAACATGTAATAAGTGTCCATCGTGTTTTTTTTATTGTTCATATACAGTACTTTCGCTATGGGTTGGTAATGAATCAACAGTGGACGTGATGGTTCGCTCGGAAGAGATTCCAAGAGTTTCTCGTTATTTGAAACAGAAGGACCTACGGTATCAAGTAGTGATCGATAATCTACAAAAAGCGATAGATGAAGAGAATCCGTTGCTCTCCGTTGAAGAAATGGAGGAATTGGAAGGCCGCAAAGGTTTGCCAATCTCGTATTTACCGTCATTGATGATTACAACTTTCTTTAACGTATATTTCATGCTTTCGTTCGTTTGATACTTCTCCATTCGCAGTACGCAAAGTTGCGATTACGATTCTTTGATGATCGATTTCGCTTGAAGCGTTTGCGTTTGACAGTGAAACGATGTTTCGCTTGTCACTTAACCCGTTCCACTGACACAAATGGTGACGACAACTTGTTCGAACATTATCGTGTAGTCGAGTCACGTAGCGAAGAAAGCTGAGAATCAATTGCCACCCATACTCAGATGTCGAAAGTGATTTCGATAAGCGAAGTTCAAATTAGAACAAATCATTTTTAAACACTCCTATTTTAAACGTTGATAGTTATTCTATCGTTCATTGATCATGATCGTTCATTAATATTAGAAAATTCAGAAGTATTCTCTAAAGAGTGTTAGCTGTTTTTCGGTTGAAAGACACCAGGTTATTGGCCTCGTGATTTAACCCGTTAACCCAGTTCTGATTTAACGACAACACTGATTAACATTAACAGTTATATATCCACGCTGGGGTCTATGCGTGTGTGTACACCTGTAGAGCACGTGTACATAGACGTTTCCGCGAACAAAGTTGTCGGTTTAATCGCGGCCCCGTTACTCGTTTCCAGTTAATCGTTGAGATGCCTGTTGGCAATCGGCCCGATTCGAAAGCTGTTTGAGATGCGCGCGGAGTCGTGAGATAAAAGAATTCAACTGGTTTCGGAAACTTTACTATCATTGTTAGAAGAATTTTTCTTAACAACACCTATCAATAAGAACCCTCAAAGTCAATGAGAACTCTGTAATAATAAAATGTAATATAGAATTCGTATGTACTATCACATAATTAATAATCGATACATTGTAGAAGTTATTAAAAGATCTTTCATATATCGCATCACAGCAAAAGTGTCTTCATTCGTTATGGGGTTAATAACCCTACCCAAATGTAGATCACGTACAAATAAAGATATACTTTTATGAGTCAATTTTAACCCAAATCTCAGTCATTCGACGATGACTGTTGAGCGAATCTTTCGCGAGGTCAAAGATTCTTGAAACCTGGCAGTTCAAACAACTCGACTCGCGATCGAGGCGTTTCGAGGCGCGCTCGTTAAGTCCCGTTACTCCCGATCGTCGACCGGCTCGAATATTATAAAAGCCGGACCATCGTGAATCCGTTGATAGTCATTGACGATGGAGACGAGTTGTGGATCTCGTCACGGTGCGTGTTCGTTCGCATTCGCAGTTCTTTTTGCCGTCGTACTCCTCGCGGAAGCGTCGGTGATCGGTCGAGAGAAACGAGAATTCGTAATACCGGACTGGATCGAGATCGTTGACGAGCCTGTCGCGGAGAACTCGAAGACTATTCAAAGAGCGGTCAATGTGAGGGATGCGAAAATAAGCTACGACGGGGCGCAAGTCTGGAGAGTCCAGGCTTTGGTAGAGGGACAAAAGGATTTGGTATCGAATGTGACCATGGATTTTCAAGAAGCTGGATGTTCGTAAATAGTCTGTTTATATAAAAAAATTTAATTCTCATTTCTGATTAGAGAATATATTTTGTTGAAGATGAAGAGAGTTTTTACAAGACTTATAATCCGAATATATTAGTTACTTTTATAAGCATTAAACATGTAATAAGTGTCCATCGTGTTTTTTTTATTGTTCATATACAGTACTTTCGCTATGGGTTGGTAATGAATCAACAGTGGACGTGATGGTTCGCTCGGAAGAGATTCCAAGAGTTTCTCGTTATTTGAAACAGAAGGACCTACGGTATCAAGTAGTGATCGATAATCTACAAAAAGCGATAGATGAAGAGAATCCGTTGCTCTCCGTTGAAGAAATGGAGGAATTGGAAGGCCGCAAAGGTTTGCCAATCTCGTATTTACCGTCATTGATGATTACAACTTTCTTTAACGTATATTTCATGCTTTCGTTCGTTTGATACTTCTCCATTCGCAGTACGCAAAGTTGCGATTACGATTCTTTGATGATCGATTTCGCTTGAAGCGTTTGCGTTTGACAGTGAAACGATGTTTCGCTTGTCACTTAACCCGTTCCACTGACACAAATGGTGACGACAACTTGTTCGAACATTATCGTGTAGTCGAGTCACGTAGCGAAGAAAGCTGAGAATCAATTGCCACCCATACTCAGATGTCGAAAGTGATTTCGATAAGCGAAGTTCAAATTAGAACAAATCATTTTTAAACACTCCTATTTTAAACGTTGATAGTTATTCTATCGTTCATTGATCATGATCGTTCATTAATATTAGAAAATTCAGAAGTATTCTCTAAAGAGTGTTAGCTGTTTTTCGGTTGAAAGACACCAGGTTATTGGCCTCGTGATTTAACCCGTTAACCCAGTTCTGATTTAACGACAACACTGATTAACATTAACAGTTATATATCCACGCTGGGGTCTATGCGTGTGTGTACACCTGTAGAGCACGTGTACATAGACGTTTCCGCGAACAAAGTTGTCGGTTTAATCGCGGCCCCGTTACTCGTTTCCAGTTAATCGTTGAGATGCCTGTTGGCAATCGGCCCGATTCGAAAGCTGTTTGAGATGTGCGCGGAGTCGTGAATAAAAGAATTCAACTGGTTTCGGAAACTTTACTATCATTGTTAGAAGAATTTTTCTTAACAACACCTATCAATAAGAACCCTCAAAGTCAATGAGAACTCTGTAATAATAAAATGTAATATAGAATTCGTAAGGATACGAGACCAGGCGTCGAATTATCAGAGCGCTCTCAAGAAACAAGAAAATATTTCTCCCTCCAGACCGCCAATATTAATTAACAATATCATAATCAGTTACATCGACTAACAGACAGAATTACGACGCTAAGCTTTTGAGTAATTTTCTAGCTCGTTACGCTTGGTGGCAGGGAGTCGCGATCAAGGCGCCAAGTAGATATTCTCGTCCTCGTCCTCTTCGTTATCCTGTAGCTAGCGTTCATGGTGTGGGTGGCCCTTGGCGCTTCAGGGGTGAGCTTCTCGCGCGCATAATCCGCTTCGTCGATTCAGAACCATTTTCTTTTTAATTTCATTCTGAATGCGTTCGTATAATATAAATATCAATAATTGATTAATCGTCTCTGAATCTACGGAGCGGAATGTTCTCACGTATCATTTAAGAACACCGAACGTGCAACCTGTGAATAATCTTGAAGGTGACTGATTGGCAGGACATAGAATGGAATGGACCACTTATCATCGACTCGAAGACATTCATGGGTATCTCGATTATCTTGCTCAGACTTTCCCCGACGTTTGTTCTGTTGTCAGCATCGGTAATTCTGTCGAAGGGAGACCGCTTAAGGTACATAAAATAAAAGCAGTGTATTTTATATCAACAATCTTAATTTATTTGCCAATATTCGACTTAAATATGTACAAGCACTTGCCATCTGTGTAGTGTTTTGATTATAATAATAAATTTCCTTTGATAACACTAGATTTTATTAAAAATAATGAAATATTGCCATAGGTTATAAGAATCAGCAATGGGAAACAAAATGCACCAGCACTATGGATCGATGGAGGCATCCATGCTCGAGAGTGGATATCACCAGCGACGGTCACTTATATTATCAACCATTTAGTCGAAAACAGCGAGAGCCTCGATGCTGACTATTACATTCTACCAGTGGCAAACCCTGACGGATACGAATACACGTTCACGAGAGATCGTTTATGGAGAAAGAACAGGAAACGGGCTGTGGGTAGTATGTGCACTGGCGTTGACCTTAATAGAAACTTCGGCTATCGATGGGGCGGCATGGGCACCAGCAAAGATCCTTGCCGTGAAATTTATGCTGGCTCCGGACCGTTCTCAGAGCCGGAGACCAATGCTATTCGAAATTTCTTTGAAGCTAGCGCTGCCAATTTCAAAGTAAGTCTAATAGATTTAAACTATACTTTATGAATAAATTAAATTAATATGAAATATCTTTTATGGCTTTTAAAATTATGATCCTATTAAATTTTATTATGAAGTATCAATTATGATTAATTTTTTCTAGGCATATCTAACATTTCACAGTTATGGACAGTACATCCTCTATCCATGGGGTTATGATAAACGCGTTCCTCCCGATTACGCAGATCTTGAAAGCGTTGGCAGAGAAGTAGCTGTATCGATGAGGAAAGCGGACAGCGCCAGTAGCTCTTATACAGTCGGAAACAGCGCTACCACCCTTTACGCAGCGGCTGGTGGCTCAGACGATTGGGCTAAGGCAATTTTGAAACTCAAGTATGCATACACGATCGAGCTGAGAGACACTGGAAAATTCGGATTCGTTTTACCGTCGCGTTACATAATTCCGACGGCGAAGGAAGCATTGGCTGCAGTGATGGTTGTCACAGAAGCTTGCAAGTCTTTGTAATCTTAAATCTTACAATTAGTACAATTGTATAAATTACTATTCGTCATTGTATGTATGGTGCATATGTGTAGTGTAATTATTAGAGGATAAGACGTGTGACGACGAACAATATTTATTGAATAAAACAAACAAACAATTTCTTAGTTTAATTATTTATGAATAGTTTAATACGATTATCTTAACCCACGTGAGGAAGGCGGATACTCTGGTGTAAACCGATGGTGCGTTCTTCCCGCCGCATGGGAATATTCCCCATGAAACGATCCCTACGATTTCTGCTTCCTCAAATTGGTTTCTCAAGACTAGAGGTCCTCCCGAATCGCCCTGTAGGACAAATATATATTTAAAAATTAGAATTGAACCCTTGAAAACTGCGTTAGTATCCAAATTACATAAGTTAGAAACGTAGTTAGAAACTAATTGTTGAGTACCTTGCAAGCTGATAAACTACCATCCAAGGGTCCCGTGCAAATATTTGTGGAATGGAGAGGATTCTTTTCTTTAGGTTTTAATGTTTTGTCCAACGTCGTTTTGCACAAATCGTAATCAATGATTGGTAAAATGGCGGCTTGAAGGTTTTCGGGAATTTCTGGTTCCCGAGTCCTTCCGATGCTGCCCCAACCAGTGAGCATAGCTTCACCCGTAGGAATCGAGTTAAGGTAAGGCAATGAAACAGTTGAAACAAATGGATTTAATTCGAATGGTTCTTCTACTTGCATCAATGCAATATCGTATGGTCCTATACTCCTAAAGCAATATAAAATATAAATGTTAACAGTAATAACTATTGGAATATTTAAAAAAATAAAATAGTAAGACCTTAAATAAATTACGCTGCATATCAAGAAACTCACCCATCATATCGTGGATGAACAAACGATTTGGTTACCAGTCTTTTTTGTTCGGTATCTTCAACGATTCCCAACGTGTATTTTCCAGCAAATATTGTAAATTCTCCGTTCGGTGGTGGCAAAGTTTTGCAATGGCCAGCCGTCAGTATCCAGCCAGCTGTCAGTAAGCTGCCCCCACAAACGTGTCTCGGTCGAATTTTTCGTTCCGGATGTCCCCAATGTATCGAAACTTGCCAAGGGTGCAACCCTTTTTCTGCATCCTTCCCACCGACAATCCTCGTTGGTCTTTGTGCCAGCATCGCCAAATTGGAAACCATTCCTATTGACGGAAGAACGCATTAAAATATATATACATATATTATATAATATATTAGCTTATATGTACATGTGAATAAATTGCAAATAAAATCCGTGATACTTTATACCTTCTGAACAGAATTCAAAAATGGAACCTGTACATTAAAATTCACTTGTCCTCGTGGAGTGAACTCGATTCTCATCTCTGAATAAATTGATAACATGTAATTGAACAAAAACGATCGTTTCTTACCATTCTCTTCAACACACAATACGAAACCGACACTTAAAACTACCAACAATTTCTGAAGAACGCAACAAACGCTCGACATTTCGTACAAATTTCGCGCTGCTTGATCCGTCCGAGAAATCTGTTGGAATGGCAACGAAAGTGAGAGCAGTCAATCGCGGAAAATCATTCTAAAGAAGAACCGGATCTTTCTTCCTACTTGCACGGTCAGGAGCTAGTTTCCGGTTTTGTGCGAACGTTCTACTTTTTATGGTAAACTACGCTCAAGGTGCAGATTTATTTTCAACTTGCCATGAACACGTTACGCCGTAATTCACAGTTTTATTTGTATATCATTAAACAGAATGATATAACATTAATGCATTGATTTGATCTTTTTATTAAAATATTCTTAAATACATTGATACACTCGTATAATTCACTTCTTATAAATATGTATCCTAATTAGTAGCGATAATATTATTTATCCAAGCGACGTAGGGCTTAATAGCAGTATATATCAACGGTGCTTCTGAAGTTCCGGTTGGTAAGATTCCCCAAGTAACGATTCCAGCAAGCTGTGGCAGGTTTGTCGTGGAATTAGTGATAACCAATGGGCTGCCAGTGTCACCCTGAGATTACAATCAAAACTAATGAAATGACTCTCTTTAGGACCTAAAATGTTTTATAAATATGAAAATGATTGATTCCTCACAATATACGCTGGAAAACCATTATCATGCGTTCCAGTGCAGATGTTAAGTGAGTCCACAGGATTAGGACCAGTAAGGTTTTCTACAGCCTTCTTGCAATCAGTGTAAAACATGATCGGCAGTACAGCCTTCTGCAGTCTATTGGGTATAATTGGAGTACTGGTTCTAGATGTTGACCCCCAACCAGATAGCGTGGCGTTTCCGGTTAACGTGGCTGTTGTGTTTGTTAAATTAATTGCCTTGACCCAGGAATTGAGTACCAGAGGACGTTCCAGCTTTATCAACGCGATATCATTGGAGCTGATATCGCTAGACATTGTTAAGAACATATTTTATATAAATTGTCAATTGCTGGTCAAATAAAAAGGTTTGATTACTAATTACCCGTTGTAAGAAGGATATACAATAATTTTATCGACATGGACGGCTTGCTCGTGCGCCTCCGTCATTTTTAAATTAAATTTCCCAGCTTTAACGAGAAGGTCACCATAACTCGGTACCGATAGACCACATTGCCCGGCGGTAACAATCCACCGGCTATTCACAATAGCGCCGCTGCAGAAGTGAGAGTAGCCAGAAAGCCATCCCCACTGTAAGGAAACATGCCACGGAAATTCTCCATCTCTTGCCTCTACCGCTGTATCAACGCGGTTGTCGAACAGTGGTAGAACGTAGCCTCGATGCGGTTTAAAAAGATCTGCAAAACAAACCAAACGAATTATTTAAAATTGTTACCGTAAGAATATGAAGTCTCCTCATTTTAAGTGATTCCAACGGTTTAATTAATAATTGTGGATGATGAGACAAAATAATATCAATGCAAATTAACGTACTTGCGGTAACCGTTGCGAGGAGCGCAATGAGAACGATGGATTTGAAGAACATTTTCGTAAAGTGATTGATTTCTATAGATTTACAGTTTATATACTGCCATCAGCGATAACAATTTCTCTTATCGAAACAGTTTTATATGTTTTTACGAAGTCTTTAAACAGGTGATATGTTATTTGCTTCCAAGAACGATTAATGGATTGTAAGAAATTCAATATCGTGGACTTCATTCAGTATATGTTAATTAACAAAAGTAGCTTTATTTAATTTACATTTAACTCGAATTTATGAATTAGATATGTTTCGTAAGAGACTTATCACTGTTGAGGCCTTCGGTCGTAATATCAGAGTCAGAAAATATTGTATCCGCGCGCATTCTATTACATGATGAAGTTACCTGCAATGCTGACAAAACTTGGGTAGTAACTCTTATCGGACGCGACTTACACTCGGAAGTTTCCACACCAGTGAACAATGAATATGTCCTTGATAAGATGTGATAAGTAACTATTAATTGTAACAGTGAATTCTTTAAATTATGATGAAACACAAATGAAGGAACAGCAGAAGGCTGGTCGCTTCTTTTGTACTGGAAATCGAGCCCGGGACTTGCGCTTGCTGGGCGATTGCATTGATCATTGATTATGAGCTATTCAATAGACTGTAATTCTTCCAGACCTTATAAACATCGAAACATCAGAATGCCGATTCTCTACAAAGATTAATTACATACATCTAACTCCTTGGATTTTGCCCCCATACAAACATAGACAAGTATGTATTGCCCTTAGTGGTACATGATATGTACTTGGATCCAAAATCCAATGAATTAGGTGTGTGACTAATCACATTACACAATTTGTTTAATACCAACAATTCTTGTTTTTGTATTAATGCGATTCTCCGTAGCCGTGTTCAAACTCATTTTTATCAATGAAAGTAAATGTTCAGATAAGATTAAGCGGAAAGCTGTGTGAATCTATTTTAAGTACAGAGTTGTTAATCTGAGAAAGAAAGTAGATTAAAACGTAATAAAAGGAAATCAATAATAATCAAATCTTAGAAGGCTAAAGAATCTCCCGCGTTATCATAAAACTTTGTCACTCTGTTTAATCCGTTCAGAGAATTAAGGCTGCACGTCAAGTCATAAGAAAGTGAGAGTAATTGCGGAAATGTATTCCGAGAGGGAGAGATTAGATTCTCTTGCTGACAGCTTGTTTAAAACTAGTATGATCTGTTCTAGAAACATACAAATTTTTATATGAGTCGTGGACATTCGTATACATATGAAAACTTTAATTAAAACAACAAAAGAATAAGAGAACAGATGTGATATTTATTTAATATTTATTATGGGTACATATAATTTACATCTTTGGTTATGACAAAAAGCTATCTTTCGATTTTTATAAAAACTTAAATTGTATGTTACAAAATAAATCGTTTTAGTTCTTGGCAATAGTTTTTTGAATCCAGTCGACGAAAGCAGACGTCTTGGTGTATACTGATGGAGCACCCTTAGTTCCACATGGTACGATTCCCCAGGAAACAATACCAATGACCTCCGGGGATCCATTATTGTTGAGGATCAATGGACCGCCGGAATCGCCCTAAAGTTGCGATTGAAATTAATAGAGTAATTTTATTCAATCGAAGATATGAATGGATTTTGAAAAATAGTTCTTACGTTGCAAGCCGAGTAACCACCAGTGAGTGGTCCGGTACAAACGTTGGTGTTCTCTAACGGAGATGGGCCAGTAAGTTTCTCAATGGCCTGCTTGCAATCACTCAGTCCGACGATAGGCAGTTCAGCTTTTTGGAGTTTGTCGGGCATAACCGGGCTGTTGGTTTTCGATATAGAACCCCAACCAGTTAGAATAGCATTTCCGGATGGCTCGCTATTTGCCTTCGGCAGATTGATCGCCTTAACTGCACTGTTGAGTTTCAGAGGTGATGCCAGCTTCAATAAAGCGATGTCGTACGGAGCCACTCCTCTAAAATACCACAAGTTACAAAGATATTAAACGAAGATTCGATCAAAGCGCCTAACATTTGATTAGTAGAATAGCAATGTTACCCAGGGTAGCTTTCGTGGACAATCGATTTCACAACCTTTACGGATTGTTCATTACCCTCCACCTTCTTCAGGTCATGTTTACCAGCCTTAACGACAAATGTACCGTAGTTTGGGACTGCTTCAGCACAATGTCCGGCAGTGAGTATCCATTGGCTGTTAATGATGGAGCCACCGCAAAAATGAGAGAGACTATTGAACACTCCCCATTGCAAAGAGACTTGCCATGGGTATTGTCCTGGTGTAGCTTCGCTTCCACCAACTATGCGGGTGTCTAGCAATGGCAGAACGTAGCCTTGGTAAGGCTTTGCTGTAAATAAAAGCAATCAACATTTATTAATAATGAATGAATTTAACACTTAGGACAAACGTGTATTTCATTAAATGCGAAAAGAACACTACGTAGTTTTTCGTTAGATATAAAATTTGAAAATTAATAATGTGATCGTTCTTGATGAATTAAACATAAATCAGCATGCTGGTGATTGCAACTACTAGAGAACTGAATAAAAATTCTAAGAATAAGGTAAAATACAATTATTATTGTTCGGTAGTAATTGAAGGTTGACTTACTGGCGGCGGCCACTGCAAGAAGAGCGGAGAGGATGATGAACTTGGAAGACATTTCGATGGTATGATGATTATTGGTTTGACCAAAGCTTTTATACTTCGGTTAATTGGATATCAGTCATAGCATCTTATCGGAAAGACGTCTTAATCCACGTAGCACTTGAAGATATGAGTCCAAATATAATTTTCTGTTAGAGATTTAATTCTCGTTTCACTTTGATTGATGATGACCATTACATCTTATCAATTTTGCACACGGTAGAGATACTTTTTGATAGGAAAATCGGTAAATCCCATGCTATAAGACAGTGCTACTTTTCTATCAGATTGTGAGATAGCGACCCTCAATGTAATTAGTTTATTATCATTACTTATAATTATTGCTATCGATTATTTTCATACATTCTGAATGAGAATATAGTTTGTCGAGTCCTCTACTTAAGTGTATTATGTATATGTATATAATACTTGTATGTATATTATATATTTATATAAGTGGACCAACAATGGTATTTGACGAGAAAACTCTATTTTTCGACCATAGAGCCTAAATTTCCCGGCCAAAGGGCAAAAAAACTCTATTTTCGGTCCACTTTATGTTAATACGTCTAATAATAGAATGTCTAACATAAAATGTTTTCTAATTATGCGTCTGCAGATTTTCATGCAAAATCAAACATTTATGGTATAAAATTGAATCATTAAGAGTAATCATTTTTATTCTTCGTGCTAATATCCCGCTTTAACGACCGTTTAGCACGCATTAAATTAGCGAGATTGATATGATTGTGATCATTAGATTTCGATATCGATAACTGCATTTTATCAATTAGCAAACAATTTTCATCGTCTGGATATCCGCTTATCGATCCTTTTTATCAATCCATATGTAATTATATTCGTACAATACAAACAAAGCTATGTTAAAAATAACAACATCGCTGCGTTTTATCAATTTAATTACTTCCTTTATTTCGAAAAGTTGTATACATTATTCGTCATTTTTTGTTATTCTTCAAAGCAAGCTGGTAGTCATTGGTTAAATTGAATACTCGAAAAAAAATACAAAACGAGAGAAGATCAAAAGTGAATTTAGAAATTATTTCATGTGTTCATGAATCCAGTCAACGTAGGAGGCGACGCGGGTGTACACGGATGGCATCTTGCTAACTCCGCATGGCATCATGCCCCAGGAGACGATACCGACTTGGACGGCGTTGTCTCCAGATCCTTGGGCAAGTGGGCCACCAGAGTCACCCTGTAAATAAAATAAATCTATCAATCCCCTGCTCTGTGAAAGCATAAAATATTCTATCGTTCAATTTGAAGATACTCGGTCTCATTTTCGAAACAAGACTGCTGAGTATACACGAATAAATTATTCCAATTCACGTAATAATTACAAATGAGTTTAATCACTTACGGAGCAGGCGGATATTTCCTTTCCAGCGGATCCACTGCAGACTTGCGTGTCGAAGATTTCCGGTTGTTGACCAATGGAACTTGCGCTCTTAAGTTCCTCCAAGCACTGAGCGTTGTCCTCAATAGGAACGACAGCCTTTTGGAGAGTATTTGGCAGGGAAGGTAACACTCCCTTAGAAGTTGATCCCCATCCGGAGAGAATAGCTTCACCGGTTTGTTTCTGTCCTTGCGTGGGCAGCTTAATAGGCTTTACCAAATTGTTCAATTTCAGAGGAGTCTTCAAATGCAACAGAGCGATGTCATGTTGCGCTACACCACTACGAGATCACAGATAAAATCATGTTAGTGAGTAAAGTGATATAGTAGTTTATTTGCATTAAAGTAGCATCAATCATGTCGAGAATGTCTTTTATCTTATCCATTTGGTTTTAGAAGTAGGACAAATTGGAACGACATTACTATCGAATTCCAAACTATGGCATTCTTTTGAAATACTGTTATTACTTCCTTCGTCTCTTCTTTGACTTCAGAATTAAAAAATGTATGCAATCAGAAGGATTCATTACCCCTTGTAGCCACTGTGGACAATACTCTTGTCGACCTCAACCAGTTGTTCTTGCGATTCGGATTTGTTCAATAAGTATTTTCCAGCAACGACTCTAGATTTGCCAACTTTCATGACACAGTGGCCCGCGGTTAAGATCCAATGCTCATTCAGGATGGAACCACCGCAGGAGTGGCTGTATTGCGTTATGGGTGGGATTCCCCATTGAATAGAAACCTGGTACGGAAATTCGCCACGTGCGGCATCTACTCCGTCCGTGATGCGTGGTGTCAGGTTGTAGGGCACTGCCCAGCAAACTATAAAATAAATTCAATAAATCATATCAATATTCATATCTATTAAAGATTGATTTAAAATTTCATGGATTAGAATTATTTAAATGTAATATCTATTATTTAAAACTTCTTACAATTAATGTACATATATTAATATAGACCAGTGTGTTTAATAATGAAAGATCATCGAATGGTATATTTAATAAAACATTACTCTTTGATACAATTTTGAAGTTGGTAAATAGAGCATGATTCACTTACCCTGGAGGACGAGGACAGAGGCTAGAATACACTTGGTGAACATTGTTGTACGATTGTCTCAGCACAACTCTGTGATTTGAGTCGAAATTACGATTTATATACGTGTTGCATCTCGATAACTGACGATAATTTTCAATTGTAATCGATAACAAGATCACTTGATGATATTCTTCTGTTAAAGATGTTTATATTAAAGAAGATACTCTTCAATTTTCATGGTTTATCTTGCAATATCGAGACCACGATTTTCTAATAATACGATGTTACCACAGTCAAAATAATCATATCGTATTGATTGCGCAGATACCTCATCGTTATATCCGATAACTCTTACTCGTATCTTCTTTGAGAGGAGAAAATTTTCACGTTGGGAATCCTCAATACAAGATGTATCAAAACTAACGGCGATGTGTACTACTTTTAGTTATTTTCGGTCAAAAAACAATAAGTTGGGTATACTTCGCTTACTAAATCACGGAACTGCTTCTTTTCTTAACACGTTAATTTATTTATTTAGTCAGTACTTACATTACATCTACATATATTAAAACTTTTTTTTAATTAAATACATTATACACACATTCTATGTTAATTTCATTTACATATACATATTCTTTATAATTCTGTTAATACTTTACAATATTTACACATCATTCTAGAGAGTACAAACGAAAGTTTATGCTGAATAGCAATAATGTTTGCTCAATTCTACTATTATAACGACGCATCTGTTACAATACAGAATTTAAAGATAAGTAATTCTTGTTGAACTTTACTACCAGAAAATTTGGTAATAAAACATAATTAAACATGCGCAATCTCCGATTTTGATCAATCTCTGTGTCAAGTTTATCAATACATGGTGCACAAATTATCGCTGTCTGCCAGATTCTTCGACCGATATTCCAGTCACGTTTCTTATCACTATCGATGGGAGAAGCAGATCGGTAAGTAGCAGTGCTTGGAATTTTTGTGATCAATGTTTCATTTATCGATTTCACGTGCTGCCAGTGACTAGACGCGCGATCGTTCTTATTCCGGCCCAAATTTCACGAGCGGTGGGTACGATCTGCGACGCCGGAAGTAAAAAGCCGTAAGTGCCACGATCACGAAGTTCCACAGTGTAAACGTACTTTATTCCAGCTACGCCTTTTGCCCAATCATCTGAAGCGCCTGTAATTCAAGTATTTTAAATCCCATTTGAAAATTACATAAGTTTATATACAAAGCTCAATGCGTTCTGTGCTTTTAATAAATTATGAATATCAAAGCATTCTTATTTCCACTGTTGAAT